GTCAGCTTGCGTGATACCTGAGCTGCATGAATTCAAATGTACATATACACATATTACAGTGAGGCATTTGGTTATGATTTACAAGACTGAACTTTACACTGAGCAACACAATGGTGAGAAAGTATTATTGGTTTCATTCTTCATCTGAGAAATGATTAAAAGAAAAAAGATGCCTAATTGTAAATGTAAACCCCACGTTTTACCCAACAAGCCAGACCATTATGTGTTAAAAGGTACTATTTTCTTGCATGAACTGACCGTACAGCTATTAGTCACAACTAAAAATAAAATCTATCCATTAACATTCAGTCAAAACCTAGTTAATTCTTCACTATAGTTACATGTAAGCTCCCACGGGTGAGGGCGTTTCCAATTTTTATTTAACAAGTCATTTTAACTTTCGTCTCTCTTATGGCGCAGCTTGTTTCGTGTCTTTTCCATTTGGGTTTTATCCACTAACATGTACTTGATGGCACAGTCACATCATACAAGTAATGGCGCAGATGTCTTTGTTGTTTTTGGACAAACCAAAGTCATCACTAAGCAAAGCATGAAGCTCCAGAGAAATGACCCATCTCTATCCCCCTTGCTATTAACGCTGCACACTCCTAAAATACATCATCCACTTGAGATATCATTAGGCTGTTGACAACCCCCCTGAGGAAAGGTGTGCCAGTATTAGCTACAACTATAGCAATACCTGACATCCATTCCAAAAAATATTCACAACAGCTCAGTTATGTAATGAAGCTATAACTGCATCTACTCAATAAAATCAGAGCCAGCATTTTAACGTTCTGATTCAGTGTAGATAAGTTTGCTTCCAGCAATCACTGGCAGGTTAGTGAGCTATACCCTCCAACTGAATGGCACCTTTATACAAACAAAAGTGTCAGAGATCCCTAAGCCACCCCTTACATTTCAGTAACACAGCAATGTTCAATATATTCAGTATTCTTTTTTTGTAGTGTGATGTTTTATAAAGTTATTGTGAACATATGTGACAACAAGCAAAAAATAAAATTACATATGAAATATTCAGTTAAAATTGCAAATCACGGTCACGATGTGTTTACTGTTCAATGTCTGACGGGGAAAATATAGTATGTTGTTGTCATATTGCTGCCTTAACTGCCTAACAGCATTATTTACAAGAATACAAAGTTACCATAAGATTTTAATAATGTGTCAAAGTATCAGTAATAGTACAACTTTCGTAACTAATAATGTAGTTCATATTATTTTTTCTGATGAAATCTGCTGACTGAAACTTGAACTATTACACTGACTGACACTTAAGACACATCAAAGTGTTTGTAGAAATTCAGAAAGAAATCCAGGCCCCTCCCAGCAGCTTTAAACAGCAGTATCTAGAATATATAACTAGCATCAGTAGCATCAGCCAGTTGTCCACATTTGGGGTTAAATTATTGATAATCCTGATCAAAGACCAGCCGCTATCTCAGGTAACCCACCTATTTTAGATGTTCTGTGTTCATTAAGAAAATTGAAAGTATGAAATGAAATCACTGGAGAAAGGCTGAAAAAAAAAACCCTTGCAATAACAGAGTGTTTTAGCCACTTCGAGGCAGCAGACACAGAAATTGTAAACACAACAACATATTATTATCACTTTCAGGTTGATATGGTGAACTTGGTAGCAAACAGTTGTTGTTTACAAATCCAGAGCAACATTTTCATTCATTTGGAGTCACCAGCTCAATGTTCTTCTAATATTTACTCTCTTTTAGTTGTTTTTAGTCCAAATGAACTCCCGAGGGAAATATCTGGCTCTTTAGCTACCAAGTTCTTCATTTACGGTCACCGGGTAGCCACCAAGTGTGAGTCTGCACTTTGGTGCTGAGAAGGTAGTGTACAGTGGGGTTTTATAGCTCTGTAAATAGATACCTGCTTGAAAACAACACTATGAGAGAGGTCAGGCTGAATTAAAACAGTACAGCTGGACAATGAGCTGAAAGTCTTCTTCTCTGTAGGATGAACACTACGAAAAACCTCTTCACATTTTGTCATTTTGGATAAATATATCAATTCTTTGAAGCTGCATTATTGGCCACTACGAGGGCTGCAGAACTAGCTGTTAACATAACATGTTGTTATATCACCTTTTAAACACGTTGTGGCAAACATGTTACCTAACAACTGCATACTTACACATCTCACAAATGTGGCAACCTGAGCATGAACAATAGCATTTATCTGGAGCTGTGACTCTGGCCTCCACCAACTCCTGAGGAAACTATCTGGCTCTTTATTTGTTATTACATTACATCGTTCAACCGTGTCAATCTGCCATTTGGTGCTGGAAACTAGGTTGATGACTGTGGCAAAAACATTTGAGTTGAAAGACATGAAAAAGCCCTGCAGAGCTGAGAGTAACTTCTGAGTTGGGTGGTCTTTATCTGTGGGTCATCTTGTTTATTAAATATAACATAAACTAATGCAGACAACTCCAGCGTCACTTTACATAACTTATTCGTCTTAACATGGCTAACACATGAATAGCTAACTAGTTAACGTGGTTTAGCCCCTCTAGCCAAAGGCTACATGTAGCTTGTTTGTGACTTGTACAATCATGTCACTGGTCTTTATCATGGAGAACTAGCGAGCTAATGTTGACCTTACCTTTTTTCAGTTCGTTGAACCAAACACTGACAATGGTCCTCGAGTGTTTTCTGTGATGAATGAGCCACAACGACAACGTCTGCACACTTTGCTGTGAGTTGCTAAGCTCGGAGAGTTTCTTTTCTAAAGCCGCCTCAGAGAAAGCTGACATCTTGGCGAGATTACAGCGAGTACGAGACACTGGGAGAGGCTCCGATGT